TGAGTTTGACCCGGAAGCAGATCGAACCCTCGACTCTTGGTTCAAAAGGTACTAAGACATATTCCATGTTGATTTCGCCAAGCAAAATGACCCACGGAAGGTACGGTTTTTAGTTAGAAAACTTGGCACACATGAAAATAACCGCTACATGAATCACATACTTCCCAAATGGCCCAGTGATCTCAGCTTCGACAGCACTGTCCAGAGCCCCACGAAAATCTATGGCGACAAGACGTGCTTGTCCAACATCAGATAAGGGGTGAGTTTGTCGGTTTTACAACATTTGCCGATCGAGAATGCGAGCGTTTCAAGCTCAGTGATATGGAAGAAAATCAACTCACATGCCTTATATTTATAACTGGATTTCGCATCCTGCAGAAAATTTGTCACACATCCCATGAATAATCTTGTCCGTCTTTAGCTCGACACAGCCTCAGAAACAGACACAACAGGCGCCTACGAGTATACGGGAAGCTCTCACCTAAGTTCACCATGTCCAGTGGTGTGAGACAAGGCCGTCCCCATTCACTTTTGTTATTGATATGCTGCTTGAGATTTCTCCGCCTGCCTATGAAACCTCAGGAGTCGAAATGCTCCCGGGACGCACGCTCACAAACATTGAGTATGCGGATGATATTGCTCTCCTTCGTTCAGACGATTTCAAATAAGCTAAATAACTCCTCCACACGGTTTGGCATGCATTTCACACCTGCAAAAAGCTGCTACAAGACAGGATGGAATTAAACCCGTGCTTGCAGGCGAGTTATTCTAAGCATTAAATAAATTTGTTTACCTAGCCAGTTGTATAAGCTGCGGTGGACCGGCTGGGGATCAGATTACTTCCCGATTACTTCTTGGCCAGGGCAGCGTTACCCATCCTCCGACACCTACAGCGCCGACGTGACGTCAGTTTGTCTGTTAAGGGAAGAGTTCACACTGCGGTGGTGCGATCCATACTGCTTCATGGATCAGAAAAGTGGCCCCTACGTGCAGAGGACATGAGGAAGATGTCAGTGTTTGACTATCAGTGTCTCCAGATCACTCGTCAGGTCTAGTGGAAACATCGGATTAGCAATGCTGAGGAACGCCAGATGTTCGTAGGAAGAAAAAACTCTCTCGATAGATAAATTACTCACGATTCATAGGTTACGCTGGTTAGGACATGTACTCCGCATGCCAGAAGACAATCTACCTCGCAGTTTTACCCCAGCACTGTGCTGATTGAAAGCGACCGAGAGGTATGTTGTTGTGAATTTCATGGTTGTACGAAGGCTGGGATACTCACAACAACATATGAGGTATGACCTGCAAACGAAGTACGAAAACATTGGCCAATAACCTTGGTCGGGTGGACAACTGCCGCCTGCCTGGATGGGAACCCCGGGATTCGAATCACCAATGCTATTGGCGGAAGTGGCCCAATCGGGCAGTCATTGGCCCTTATGCATTAAAGCTATCGCATTTAACGCATAGCTACCCGAGTTCCGAAAAAAAACTGAACATGCTTTCGCCCACAAGGCTTGGTTGTATGTCCCACACTCCCGTTTTCCGCTTATCGAGACTGTAGCAGCTAGAACCAATGCGCCTATGATACACGGTTCATAGCTGATAAATTGAATTGAATTGATTGAACATCATAATTACGTTCAATCCGTAGCTGATCCTATTCATCAAGTAACAAGAACAAATTGACACCGATGGCGGATTCCGTCGTCAACTGACATGCGTTGTAGTAGCTGTTCCCTCGTTATCTGGGAAGGAAACTTTGAAAACTGAAATTAATGAACCCTTGGTACGCTGACCAAAACAGCTGAAGCTGAATGAAACCCGACCAACTGAGTTAACTGGAATGTTGGGCATGCCGTGGTAGACGTATTATATGTTAATACTATCCGCATCCACTATTCGAACTGGTGCATTAACTATCAATCATTCGTCCAAGGGACAGCTCAACGGATGGAGTTCTGGCTCCTAAACGAGTTGTTCGTGGTTGGAATCCATCACAGGAGATGAATCTGTCAGCATCCCAATTACATGGAGTTCTGTTTGGGCTACACGACAACTACGCAGGAAACTGAAAAATTCCATACCGTGGAATTTATGCTTTTGGTTGTAGGAGCGCTGGAAATCAGCATTTTAGCGAATACCTATTTTCATATCCCCTGGTCAGTTTTATCTATTTGTTTGGACGTCCACCCTGACGACGATTTTACATTTTCATGTGACGCGATACTTGCTTGCTAATTATTCCACGCCGTACGCGTCGATTTCCCCGAAGCTGTTAGTTAGATGTGTCCGCATTATATTCGTACTTGTCGCGTTTTGCCGAAGTCCGTACACGCCGTGATCTTCCGGTTAGTCACAACTTAGTGGGCCTACCAAAACACTGATACGCGTCAGGCATTAATGCAAAGAAATAATAAATTGACTTCTGCAAGTATCGTAGTCACGGAAAACATGTCATATTCAGTGGATAGATAAGATGTGCACGAACCTGCAGGAAACGGACTACCATCAATATTAATGCGTAGGAACTCAGTCCACCAGTCCATACTTCATTAAGGTTCCTCTGTAGCAAAAACTGCTTGAGGACAAACACCAAGTAAGGCATACACGGGAAAGTTCGCATGTAATCCTGAATCAGTACTGCAGCCCGAACACTGTTGATCATGTTGAAGCTGATATCAACTTTCAACCCCGTTTCTTTATCTGTCATTTTCACTATGGGAACCTGAAAATAAGGTGAAACGCCGCAAACTTTTGCTCACTGTAGCCTTGTCCAGAACAGTAATCTCGGAAGAAATTCCGCTCGACGAAAGAGCATGTTTCAATGTATGCAGAGGTAGGGCCTCCCACTTTCCGAAGATCACCATGTCGATATCACTGAGTGTGTAAGTGGTTTTATTCGAACTTACCTAGTGGGCAAATAGAGCCCAGTCTTGAAGCTCCCAAATACGTCAACCTTAACCGAAATACTACCATGGTATTGAGTTTACCTCACAATCAGGCCACATTGAATGGACGACATCCTTTATCTTCGAAACGACAACATCCCTGGCATATTGCTCCTCATCAGTTGGTTTTATATAGTTATAGAAGTCCTTTATCTCGTTATGTAGCCTGAAATCACTGCTACATGGATCACAATGAACTCACCCAACGGTGCCAGGTTCATAGTCATGGTTACTGGGCTTCCAAGGTATGTCCTCAAAAGCGAGATCACGGCATATGGGGAAGTTGGCGAGTTTCGTTCGCAATTTCAACAGCGACTCTTCATTAAAACGGTGGTTCTGTAGGTTGCGTGCCAGTGTGCCGTTCATCATTTACAAGCGGCACCGTGCAGTATCGAACAGTGCGCGCTTGTCAGAAAGTTTAAATTTGGCGCTAGCGGAGGGTTCATCAGGTCTGGTTTTCACGGATTCACGGATTCACGGATTGATACACAGGATCGAGGCTTTTGCCCAAGTCTCCCGGGTCGGTTTTGTTCTTGTCGGTCAGTGGCTGTCGTTCACCTGAAAGGCACAAGTGAAAAAAGGGTGTGGCACTGCTCTTTATGTTCTCAGCGCGGGGCAGTATGCTCGCCAGCGCGGGGATTCGCATAAATAAATGTCTAATAGTGCTTTAAATTGGGTTCGAGAAGGAGCGTGTACAACCGTCGGAGGAAGGTCATTCCATGCAGCTACTACCCGAAATGAAAAAAGTTTTGTCTAATGAATTTGTGTGCCCTGAGCTTGAAGATTTTCTTGCTATGTCCCCGCCGGGTGTTTGCTGGGTCAACGGTAAAAAACCTGTTTGCCAAGCTTTGTTCAAACAGGGCGTAAGTAAGAATTAGGTCCCCTCGGAGGCGACGGTACTCCAGGGGAAAGAGATCAAGCATCGCGAGACGGGTTTCGTAGTCCACGGATTTGAGGCCGGCAACCATTCTAGTGGCGGCTCGCTGGACACCCTCAATGAGGGTAACGTCTTTTATCGTCCTGAGTAGACAACTTGGTTGGCGTACTCCAGGAGCGGTCTGACGTAGGCCGCATAGAGTTTGTCTACTTTGCTTGGTAGATGGTCGAGAGGATGCCCATGTGGGCCCAGTCACCGTTATTCAGCGGAGGCCGAGGGCCTATTTACAACAAACAGCACCCACTGCTAGTTCTATCCGGTAACAATGGCGATAAGGAACAGGTATGAGCACTATTAAAAGGCTAAAGGCTCATTGACAAGGGTCGGGGGACATCACGGAAGGAACGGACGCACCAGACAGAAGGCCATTAGGACGAACAACATGCGCGTCTAAAATATGCGTACAGCTAAATGCTATGTAAACAATGAACGCAATTTTGTGCACAGGTGCTGTGGGGTAAATACCAATTGATAGCCACAGGATTCACTGATTGATACACAGGATCGAGGCTTTTGCCCAAGATTCCCGAGTCGGTTTTGTTCCCGTCGTTCATCAGCCGTCGTCCACCCGAAAGTCGAAAGTGACAAATGGTGTAGCACGGCTCTTTAAGTTCTCAGAACGGGCCACTATGCTTGCCAACGCGAGGATGCGCATAAATAAATGTCTAGTAGTTCTTTGAACTGGGTTCTAGGGGGAGTGTGGACAAACGTCGGAGGAAGGTCATTCCACGCAGCTGCTATCGAAATGAGAAAAAACTCTGAGCTTGAAAATCTTCTTACCCTGCCCCTGCCGTGTGTTTGCTGGGTTAACTGTGAAAAACCTGTTGGCCAAGCCTTGTTCAAACAGGACATAACTAAGAATTAGGTCCCCTCGGAGGCGACGATACTCCAGGGGAAAGAGGTCAAGCATCACAAGACGGGTATCATAGTCCACGGATTTGAGGCCGGCAACCGTTTTCGTAGAGGCTTGCTGGACACGCCCAATGAGGGTGGCGACTTTCGTGCGTCCTGAGTAGACAACTTGGTTGGCGTATTCCCGAAGCGGCTTGACGTAGACCCCATAGAGTATTTTGAAGTCCATGCGAGTAATACGGGAGAAGTTGCATCAGATCATCCGTAAAATGGCGGATGCCTTTTGCGCCGATTTCTTATGATGCAGTGAGAAGGGCACGTTTGACGAGAGCCAGATATCCAAATTCTTTTGACTTCCATCCTCATAATGTTTTATGATTCCTTCTCACCACGCACGACAAAGGCATTCGCTGAGTCTCCTCCGAATGACATATAGATACACTTTTCGCCGTCCAGAGGAATGTGTTAGTCCAACAACCACTGCTTTGCAACGTTTACATCCACTAGGAGGGCACTGACATTGCAACTCCAGGATTTCAAGTCGTCCGCGAAAAGTAGACATGGACTTGCAAGAATATCTGGAAGGTCGGCGCCGTACATGAGAAACAGCGGTGGTTTGAGAACAGAGCCTTGAGAAACTCCCATGGAGACCGGCGCTGGAGAAGGGTAGGTCAATTGGAATGACCTGTCCGATCTGAACGCCTTGATCTAATGTAGGGTTCTCTCTTGAATCCCGTAAGACACGAGCGCGCGGTGCAGCGGGACGTGTGAGACTCGATCGAATGCTTTTTAGAAGCCGAAAAATATGGCATCCGATATGAATCTCTCGTCCTTGGCTTGGATTAAGCTGTCCATAAACACGAGCATGCTTGTCGTGCAAGAACAACTTGAGAGAAATCCGTGTTCAGCTAGAGACATCAGGTTGCTGGAAGTAGGTGATCTAGGACATCTCGCTTCATAATGCTTTCTACGACCTTGCATGACACGCTAATAAGGCTTATAGGTCTGTTTCAGCCAGGAGATAGTCGGTCACCATTTTTGTAGATTGGCGTGACAATCGCTCCCTTCCAAGCGGAGGAAGGTCGGCCCTCGTCAAGCGGCTGGTGAAACATCAGGTAGACAATATTCGCCAGCGTAGACGGCGTTCCATTCAAAATCCTTGGATGGACCTCGTCGAATCCCAACGCGCAGAATGGGTTGATTTTGTGCGTGTTCTTCACCGTGAAGACCAAATCGATTGGAGGCTATTCATAGTAACGCCTTGGCAAGATTGGACGAGACGAAGACGCTGGGCTGAATATAATCTTCAATGGTGTCCTCTGTAGACTTCAGATACCACTGTTTTGTCACTCGTGGATTCTCCATTCCTGCCCCACAAGGAGAACACGGGTGACTGGTTACTGCGGCGATGCCTCATGTATTTGAAAAGCACAATTCTGTTTTCCGGATGAAGTCCAGAATGATGGCTTGTTTTTCGTACGTTGTATGTCTTCGTATGTTTAATCAAGGGCTTCAGAATTACAGCGGTTCCGCACTTTACAAAATGCTGGCTCATCTTCTGCATCTCCTGTAGTCAAGTTTTCGAAAAAAGTTGATACATTTTTCTAGAAGACGCCGAATCTTTTTGGGTAGCCTGCGGCTCATCCGACTGCGTGCTGGTCTGTCTATTGCTGAACCACACTTAAGCTGATTTCAACTGGTCACTCTGGCCTGACGGGCAGGGAAGTATACATTAGCGGGACGTATCCCGTTTGGTGTGTATAGCTCGATGTCACTGGCCGAGCCTTAGGCACACACTCAAAATTTATCTGAACCCACAGCTCGGAGGAGGGAAAATTTGACATAAAGTTTTAACATTAGGTTGCATCTACATGGTCCTTTAGGATCGCTGTATGCAGCCGCAGTTGAAGTTGTTTAAACGTACTCGAGGCCCACTCTGGGTGCGGAATTCAAGTTTCAATGACTGCCGATGGCTTCGATTGATGTCGCCAGTGGCTAGATGCCCAATGCATTTTTCTGTAAAACCCCTGCAATTCAAGTTTGACTGCCGATGGCTTCGATTGATGTCGCCAGTGGCTAGATGCCCAATGCATTTTTCTGTAAAACCCCTGCGGGCGAAATAAATAAAAACGTCAAAATGTTGCGATTCTTTGCATATACACGTGGACTGAAAACCACCCTCATCTGCCGTC